GGCGGTCGCCCAGGTTCCGATGGGCCGGTAGTGCGGCAACCTTGCACCCGCAGTTTTGACCCGCGTACCAAACTTACCGAGGCACGTACGAAATTCAGTCTGGCGGCGTATGAAACTGCCCCGCACTCAGACAGGTTCCGTACGCACGGCCGATAATTTCATACGTTCCGGTGGGTTGCCAAACCGTCGGAAAATTATCGTCCGACGATGATGTACGTGCGGCGAAATATTAGCACAACGCGCCCCAAAATGCGTGTCTACCCGGCTCTTAGTGAGGAAATACACATGCGGGTAAATTTGGGACGCCTCGAGGAAATGCACGCAACCGTAGTTAGTCAGGCTCGGTCCGGCATTACGGCGTTCTGCCCTCCACTTTTGCGCCCACAAGATGCGTGTTTACTCGGTTTGTTGTGAGGAATTCCACGGGCGTGCAAGGTCAGCGCAGCGCGAGGACATACACGCGTGCAAACTCAGCACAGCCTGAGGAACAACACGCGTGCAAACAATCGCGGAAATGAGTATCGGCACGCGTGCAAACCGACGTAAGTTGAGTAACCTCACGTCGTGCAAGCCCTCATATTCGGGTCCCAGTATATACCTGCTTGAGTCCCTCAACTAGAACCTGTCAGTCTTATAATAACTGTTTTGTTGATATGTATATACTGTGTGCAGATGTTTTATATTACTGGTGGCCTAGGGCTTTCTCCTGCTCTAAATATTTTATCCTCCCTCAGCTGTTTGATGCCAAGCAAGGAATCTGGGGTGACCTTGGACATGCTCCCTTGGGAGACTTTTTTCAAATTCTGACATTTTGCAATGCTAATTCACGTATTTGACAGGTGGAGGTTAAAATGGCTTGGTTGTAATGTTGCAAAACATCTGTGGCACTGTTGACAACCTGATAAAAATGTTGACAGATCCGAAGGACCTTGAAGTTTGAACGCTGAAGAAAGCCCTTCCCTGGTATCATCATTAGGCTGCATATACACTATTGTATATGTAAAATCAGGTACAGGTACAGATACCGGTGCAGATGTTTAGGTCCAAACCTGTACCTGTACCTGAACAATTCAGACAAATCATTACGGTAACTCTATAAGTTATTATGCAGCAAGTTTATAGTCTGTAATTTCCAACACAAGAAATTGGACTCACCCAAATTTTCGATTGTACAACTCCAGTCTTTATCAATGAATGAACAATCCACCGCTTCCGTAACGTCACGCAGATAACACACGTGACTCCGTGAGCAGTGGATCATA